CTTATATTTTTAAAAAAGAAAAAAGCCGTCTCCACCCCCCACAGCCGTTTTTCTCCCCACTAGAGAGGGCTCCAGGTGTGGGCGAAGGTGGAGCAAGAACTGGCTCCCCATCAGCAGTAGTGGTGTATCCCAGAGGTCAGAAATGTGTCCCCCACTTCTCTCTGGGACCCTCGCAGCAAGGGTCAACCTCCGGGATTTGCGAGGGCTGCCGGTCCTGCCAAGATCAGCTGAGGGCCCTGGGCTGGGCCAGTCTTGGGGAGTGGGGCAAGAACTCTGGAGGCATTGTTGGGGTGGGGGGTGGGGGGGAATGTCAGGCCACAGCGGGGTTGCAGAAGAAGGAAGGCACGAGACAATAGGCCAGGCTGGTAGTTGGAGCTATAGCCTGAGGCTGAGATGGATCAGCCTCTTAAGGTTTGGAGGTGAGAGGCTTTTGAGGGGGTGAGGGGTACATTAGACTATCAGAGGTGGGAATGACAGTCACTTCTTCCCCCTACTTGTCAATGAACCATTGTACCACCTTGAAGCAGAGACCCTAAAGCCTTCCAATTGAGATGAAAGGGCTACAGAAAACAATGGCCTGGGAAGGGCCGTGGGGACAGGGGCCTGAAAGAAGACAGGACCAGCTCAGCTGACTGAACTCATCCTTGGGCCAAGATGGGGGTTGGTGTGCCCTGGGAGGACCGCATGAGAAATAGCAAGAAAATACAATGTAAAGGCTCACAAATACCTCTCATATCTCCCCATGGGAAAGAAAAGTGCCAATCCAGACCGCCTCCACGATCCCACCTTCCCCTTTAAGCCCTGGAAGAAACAGAATCCTCCTAGGAGGGTAAATAGAGGAGCACAGCAGGCTAATCAGAGGCCTGCTCCCTAGCCTGGCCCAGCTCCCTGAATGTGGGGGTACCATTGGGGGCTGGAGGCTTGCTGACTTGGGCAGCTGCAAAATGGAAAAAGGGGTTTCTAGAGGCTGCAATGGGGCGCCTTGGGAGAGCGGTGTCACAGTCTGACCCACCAGACTTAGAAGAGGGTTCAGCTGATTTTGCAAAAGGCAGGGAGCCTGGAGCACAGAAAGGGCTGGTGGCTGGACCTAGCCCAGCTGGCCCTGTTCCTCCACCCTACCTTCCAGACTGCTCCCCCTCCTGCCTACCTGTCGGCTCTGGTGATGGAAATCCGCGGAGGGATCAGAAGTGGCAGCGTGGTGGGCCGTGGGGGCACAGGGACCCCAGGGTCAGAGAGCTCAGGGTCCGCCCAGCCCAGGCCAGGACCAGTGGAGAGGCGACGGCGAGGGCGTAGGAGGTCGGCCCCCAGCATGTTGGTGTGGCTGGGTTCAGGGGTCTCCCCCGGCCTCTAAGGAGGGACAAAGGCGGGGTAGGTGCACGGACTGGCCAAGCAGCTAGCTGTGAGCCCCTCCCCACAATATGGCTCCTCTCTAGCTATCTGGGAGAGGCTCATGGGTATAGGCTCCTTGTGTCCCCCCCTCAGTTGGAGCCACTTGCTGATCCCTCCCACAGAAGATGCCTTTTCACCCCTTCTGAGGTGTTCTCCTTCTCAGCCATAATTTTTATGGGGGTCCCTCTTGACGTTGCAGCCCTGTGGCTCTGGGCCCTCATGCCTGTACACTGTCCCTCACATGAGATGCCTCTAGCACAGCAGCTTTTTAGGGTCTCTTCCCACCCTCCACGTCTAAGCAGCCCCCTCTTGGTCTTAATGTCTGTGGCCCCTCTCACATCTGAGACCCTCAAGACCTCACCCACAGCTCCACCCATAATCCTGTCCCGACTTCAGAAGCCCCTTGGAAGACCCTGCCTTCTGCCTCTGGGCAGGGGGACTGTTAATCCTGGGGTCAGAAAAAGAAGGGAATAGAGAAAGTAAACTCAGGCACGAGGGATCTTGACTCCTCGAGACCACTTAGTGAATAGCTGTGGTCACTAGAGGGCGCCCGTGCCCCATGCGACCCAAACCCCGCCCCCAGCCCGGGCCCCGCCCCTCACACCTCGTCCTAGGTCCCGGCCACCGTTAGGACACTGCGACTCCTCTTCATCCCGCCAACCTAGTGCTCCATAGGGGCTGCGGGGACCATGTCGGCCCGAGCCAGCGCCTCCTGCAGGACCAAGCCAAAGGCATCCACCATTAGCACCCTAGGGCTCCCCCTGCCGGCTGGGCCTGGAATTCGACCCCTTCCCACGTCAATTGCCTCTCCCGGGCATGAAGTCAGCAGGCTGCGGACGCACTGCCTGTCTGTGACGTTGCCGCCCGTTGCCAGAGCGACAGCTGACGCACGCTGGGCTCCCAACAGCGTCAGCGCGGGTGTCCCCCAGCGCACACGCCCCGCCTCCTTCCTCCCGCGGGGCCTAACCCCTGCCCCGGGATCAATCCCGCAGAGAGGACCCGGAGCTCTCAGAGCTGGCTGCGTGCGGCGCGTGATCTGAGCCGGGGGCCGGCGGAAGCGTCTCCTCCGAGCTGTTGGGCCTTTAAGCCTAAACCCGAAATAGCTCCGATGTGCGGGGGCCGGGCGCAGAGAGACGCCGGCTTGGGCACAGATGGGGTACGCGCAGGCAGAGG